CTTGAACCGCAGCTGACTACATGGGAGTCCAGTGACACAGCCATTACAGTAACTGCTGGTCCCAATACAATAATTCTTTCAAAATAAAACAAATAAAACTCAAATATTCATTTAGTGGCAACCCTGAGCCAAGTCCTGGGGCTACAGCCGCAGGTCCTAGTCAGAGTCTGTAAAGGGCTGGGTCCCGGAGGGCCTCTGCCTAGCAGGGTTAACTGTCAGGTGAACTGTGGTGAGGTCTGGAGGGGTCCCTACAGCAGGGCCAGACTTTATATGGTATACTCAGACACCTATGGGCAATCGCTCTTTTTTTAAAAAAAAATTATTTTATTTAATTCCATTTATTTATTTATTTAAATTTGACTGGAGAGGACAGAGAGAGAGAGAGAGAGAGAGAGAGAGAGAGAGGGAAAGTGCGAGAGCAAGCCACCCCTTGAACCATGGTCGGCCATGTGGGAGTCCAGAGCCCTTAACCACACCACCTGCCAGCCCCAACATTAGCTCTTTACCAACTGCCTGGGATGATCTTCGCGTGTTAGCAATGAGCGGCACCCCTGGTGTCCGCCCAGCTGGCCTGGCCCACCACCCAGCGGGTGTGGAGAGGCTCAGTCAGTGATTCTCTCTTAGATCTCCGAGTGGCGTCCAGGCCTGGGTCCTCCCCCCGCCTCCCCTGGTCTGGCAGCTCTGGTGGACTGGTGGTGGGTGTCCCCTCTCACTCCTGCTGCAGGCCTCCTCCGAGGGACCCCACATTCGTCACCAGCTCCTATTCTGCCTGGTCTGAGGTCCACCCTCAATCTTTGACCTTCCATCCCGGGTTCCAGCTGTGACCAACCGAGCGCCTGAGGGTGGCCAAGGGGAACCGGAGCCTACTGCCTTCCCACGGGCCAGGCTGTCCCGGAGTTACTAAGTAACTCAGGGTTGCACGAGCTGCTCTCCACTGGGAACCCCTTACTCCCTGCCTGCTTAGTTCAGGACTCCCAAAGCCGCTGGGCTCCGTCATAGCTGGGAGAGCAACTGGTCTGGAATGCAGCTGAAAGCACAGCCCGAGACATGGCACGCACATGTCATGGGCAGGAGTCCTGAGCTGCTTGTGTAGAATCCCTGGTTCTTTAGGTCTCTAAACTTAGGCACCTGCCCCGAGGTGCGAAATAAAGCCACACCACAAAATATATATATATATTTTGGAGAGGTTTTTGCTATAGGGCGCGTGTATTCGCCAGACAGACAGAGACAGAGAGACAGAAAGCGAGAAATCACCCCCCAGGGGGATGGCCACGCCACAGTCCCTTCTCCTCTATTCTCCTCTCAGGATCTTGGGCACGCACGCACACGCGCCCAGCATGAGTTTTAAGCCACTGGGTCCAGGATGTGAACCGCGGTCGACTACATGGGAGTCCAGCAACATAGCCATTACGCTAACTGCTGGTCCTGGAAACAAAGATTTTTTTTAAATAATTATTTTATTTTACTTTATTTATTTATTATATTATTATTATTTTTTTTTTGTAGAGGTTTTTGCTATAGGGTGC